AAAGACTAGAGAGGTATATACTACACCCTCCTTAGAGTAACTCAGTAAGTATAAGAATCCTACTGGATTATCTATTAAATTAGGGCACAAGTAGTGTAGCACATATCAATTTGGGTGGTCTTTAATGAAGCAGTATAAGGTTATGGGTTGGTATAATTAAGGTGGTGGTGTAGGATCAGGGACACCAGAGAGTTTAATTAAATAGCTCAAGTAATAGTAGATTATAGGTACAGCATCTAGTGTAGATTCTAGTAATAGGTAGCTACTTAATTATATGCTCAAAAGGCGCAGGTATGACTAGAATATACTCTCGTTAACCAAGAATGTACTGCTAATATATCTAATAAAAATTTGCCCTTCCACGACATTGCGAAGATAAAAAAAATAAAAAAATAAAAAAAAAAATAAATATTATCAAACTTTAATTCATTAATTGTTATATTGCATAATATTAACATTATAATCTGTTGAGATTTTGGATATCAAGATTATTTAGATCAAAAGAGTTTAATTTTCACTTAATATAAGAATATCCTATAATCACAAGTATTTTATAAATATTAGTAATTAAAAGATACAGAATTTTGCAAAGTCAATTGATTATAATTTTTTTGGGTTAAAATATTAATGTTATTAACTTTTTAAAAATAAATCAAACTAGATTAATATTTAATATTTTTTTATTTATTTTTTATATAGTAATTTTACTTTTTTTATTTTTATTTTAAATAATATAAAATTAACAAACTTAAACTAATATAAAGTTGTCTTATAAAATAAACTATATAGCAAATATTATATAATATAAATATAGAGACCTGATAATGCTATACTCTATTTTTGCTAATACCATCTCTAAATAGTTTAGCTAGTCTTTATTTCTAACTCTAACTTTAAATTAAGTTAGATTTAGGGTTAAAGTTAATTTAATATTATAATTTAATTTGTTATTTTTATTATATAAATTGTATAACTAAAATTTGGTATAATAGTTAGACTATATAAGAATAGTATTAGTAAAAGTAGAAGTAGTATTAGTAGATCTCTAAATATATTTATTATTTTAAAAAACAACTAATTATTATATTAATTATATACAGTACAACTTCCATAGCGAAGTCACAGGTTATAAGCTAGTATAGTATATTTTTAATAGTTAACTTAAATTAATTAATTTATAAATAACTTAGCTTTGGTTTATATAATCAAAGAATTGATTCAGCTTGGTTGGTATTAGCTATAAGCCAAACCAAACTAAACTATTTATATTACTATATATAATATAAAGATTATTATTAAAACAAATAAATAAAAAATTAAAAAAATACAATTTGATTAATATTAAGGTTAAAACTAAAGCCTAGTATAAAACAAGTGTATAATTTATACAAAAATTTGTAAGAAATTTTTTTTAAATTTTAAAATTTATTGCATTTGCAATATATTGTATCCTTTCTATTATTTGAAAATTTTTACTATAAAACCATCTTTGGGTTTTAATAAAAAAATTCTGTAAAATTTTGATATAACTTATATTCTTGCTTTATCTCAAATCTTATTTCTAAATCTAATATTAATCAAAATTTATTTTTTTCGTTTTAATAAAAATTTTTCATATACAAAATTTGATAATTTTCAAATAATTATAATAGGTGCAATATATTATACTATATAATAAATTATAAATTTTTTTTATTAGATTACAAAACATGATTTTATAAGCAAAATTTTGAGTTATAGTTAAACCTCCCTAAATACAACTTCTTTAAATACATATATATAAAAAACCTTTTTAAATTTATATATTTTTTTCTTTGATTAGCAGCCTTGCTGGTATCTTTATTAGATCAAAGAATATATATATATATATTTAACTATCTAAACTATAGATTCAATATTCTCTGGCTACCCTATTAGACATCTAAGGATGATCTGTTTCACCAGTTAAGACATTTTGTCTACACTCAAGAGCTGCACCAAGTTAGCTTATAAAGCTATATCAATATAATATGTCTGTTTGGTTTAACCTAATTCTAAATATAATAATAATAAAATATGCCATCACCAGTTAAGTCAAACAAATATATTACTTAACTTAATATATAAGAGTAATTTAGAAATATTTTACAGAAGAAAAACTAAATAAAAAGCTTAAAATATAATAAAAATACTATAAAATAACTAAAGAAAATATTATCAAATCAAATAAATTTACTCAAGTATAAATCAAAAATATCACTTTAAAATAATAATTTCACTATAAAAATTCAATAAAAATATAATAAACCTACTATAAACATACTATAGAATTACAGTTTATTAATAATAAATTTCACAAGAATAAGGCTTTAATACAAGCAAATAATCAAATTCAACTCTTTCTAACGATCCTTTGGTCAATAACAATAAAAATCGAACTACAGGAAAATGTATAGAAAAGCAACAAAATAGATACTAAACTTGATTCTATAAGTAGGAGCAGCTTGTTGTCAATAAAGTCTAAGCATCTAAATATGAAATACCAAGAAGCGGGCGCCAAAAGAATATAGATGGTTTTCTTTGGGATTAAGTTTTTTCTTCTTCTAAACGGACTCCCCAAGGTATTTGGCATTCAAACCAGAAGGTTTATTCTAGAAACAAGTCTGTAGAAGTAGCCAACATGCACTTCTAAGTTGGTAGATATGGAGAAGCTGGACTATACAACTATAAAACTTACAAGAAGAACCTCACATACTTCTGTTGGCCCACCACTTTTTTTTAAGGAAATTTTTGTAAAAAGTGGGCATTTCAGTTTACTCCCTTCAAATAACAACATCATGTGTACCAAACAAATTAGCATTGTTTATCTCTCAAATCAGAACATAACAACAAACACATGTATATATATGCCTCAAATGTAATAGATATCTATATAAACGATGCTCTGAGACTCTGTTTTAACCTCTCTACCTTAAGTCAGTCAATGAAGTTTGTTCTATTTAGTTTTTACTTTCGCATACTAGTTTAGAGAAAAATAGAAGTAAAGACTAATTTGTCTAGTCAGTATGTAATTTTTCTAAGCCACCCACAAGCTTATAACTATAACATTAAAATTAGCAAATTTTCTGTTTTGTTTTTTTTTTTCAATATTCCTTTACTCTTTTTTTTCATATTTTGTATTCTTTTACTATAGTCCTCTGTACCTTTGTGTTTTTTTTTTAGTTTGTTTGTTTTTTCTGATTTTGTTTCTTGATGAGTGGGTAGCTACCAGCTAATAAACAACAGAAAAAAGTCCTTAGTGAGTTAAAGACCCTAAGGGAGGCCAAGTGCTACTGAAGCAGGTCGTGCCTAGTGTATAAAATCATGTAAGCATATCTTTCATTTGGTAGAATCTATTATAGTTAGAGATAAATTTTTTTAATTTTGAATAACTTAATTCCAAATAAATAAAGGCAGGATAGCCGAATTAGAAAAAAAAATACAAGAAAATAATAAAAGTGAAGTTCAAATATACCTATAGAATGATATAATTATCAAAAGAATAGGTGTAAAGCATATATTAATGTTTCTTTGTCTTGAAAGAAAAGGCTGAGTTTAAATATCTTTTAAAAATACTATAATACTATAAGATAACATTATGCAATAAAGCAATAAATCATTGTAATAATGAAATAACTATTGTAATAATGAAATAAATCATTGTAATAATGGTTTGTGCTATTATTTAAGTCACTATTCTATAATAATAATGCTAAAAATAATTATAGTAATGTTATTCTACAATGAAATACTATTCTACAATAACTATATTACATATTATTATAATAATTATTATGTATAATGTCTATAAATACTAATAATACTATAATTTCTAAAATTAATAATTCAGCTAATAATTAATAATTCATCATTCTACAGTGTCCTAAGGTACTATTTGTATTAAGGTAACCTTGTATAGCTTTGGTTTGTGTTCTGTTACATTAAATAAACTAATAATTTAAATATTAAAGCAAATATTACTTTAAATGGAATTCTGTAAAAAGTATATGAATAAAATATGTAATAAACATTGTTTAGATAACTAAATAAATAAAATATATTATAAACTATATAAAAAACTAATAATACTATAAAATATACAATAATAATATAAAATATATAATAAAATTTAAGAGAAAACATAATAAATATAGAGTTTTTGTAGTAGAAAAGGCCTAAATACTCTATATATTATATATAACATTTAGGTTTTTTTATTGCAAAGCCCCTATATAGTAAAATTGCTAATAAAATATGGCTAATAAAAATTTACTAATAAAATATAATAATATAAATTAGGGTTTATTTAAGATGCGCATATACATAGCTGCGCACCCCTCACGTGATCTTATTTTTATAAATGACGATTGTAATGTATAATAACAATAAGTATCAGTATATAATTTATATGCATATACGTATGTATGGCACCCCTTGAATGGGTTTGTGGCGCAGAAATCTTGATCTAAGAATCGGATTTCAAGATCAGGTATAATATAACACAATTAAGTGCTTTAACAAAAGATTTCACTAGGCAATTTTATCATAAAAACACCCCTTTCTAACTCTAACCTGAACTCTAACCCTAATATAAACGAACTTTAAAGAATCTTTGCTGCACTACAAGCCTGGCACACATTCAAGCAAAGCGTACATATGTACGTATGTACGTATATAAAATACTGTGTATAAATAAATTGTGTAATGAGATGAATCGTATGCCTAACAAAAAGGAATGTTTAATTATTGCATGCTTTTTTGTCAAATATTCGATAAAACAATGTTATTCACATTTTACCAAGTTTTCTTACCTATGTAGTTTACTAACTCTAAACCTAAATTGGTTTGATCTTTTTGTTCGAGATTAAGCAACAATTTACAAGATTAGTTTTAGTTTTTTAAAGCATTGCAATATAATGTATAATCAATCAATTAAAATGCTACATAAAAACAACTAGATATATAATAAAAACTGTAGCAACTTAATCTGTAACTAAATCCTAACTAGTTATAGTATAAGTTATGAACGTTTATACTGCATTTCAAATATATAGAACCAAATTGAAAATTTTTATCTTACATTAAAATAAAGGATATGTAACAACTCAAATATACGTAGCTTAAACTACCAGTAAACTAGTTGGTACATAACTAAATTTTCATATAATGCAAACATATAGCAGCAGTAAATTATAGCAGCATAAATGACTCTTTTACTATTCAGATACTTCAGTTTCAGTATCATTAATTTCAGTACTATCAGTTCCTTTTGGACATGTTGCTGCATTATGACCCGGCTTTTTGCATATTCTGCAATTATATCTACATTTTTTTTTGCTACGTACATTTCCTGATGCTTGGTTACGATGACTTGCGAATTTAGATCTTCCTCTAACAGCCACTTTGCGAGGATTTTTAAATTTTGTAAATGACTCTATATTCTTATTATCAATTGCATTTTGAGCCTATTGTATATTAAAATTGTTAACTAATACATTGTCCCGGATCTCTTGTGCTCTAATAAGTTCTTCTTCTTGTTTACGAATCTTTTTCAGGTAATCTTCAATAAAATGAACAAATTCATGATCACGGTGTTGCAAACACTTATCCACGGCAGAACGTACAAGACCCCAAACATTTCCATAAAAAAGTTGCTCTTTAACAAATACATCATCTACATTAATCTCTTTAATAGTATTATTGTTATTAAATGGACACAACCACTTAAATTTCTCTTCATTACTCTTTAAGGTTGTTGTACCAGTATTATTATCCGGAACAGTAATATTAGTATCCAGACTTGTATTATTATTAAAACGTTGACCACGATGCATGCATTCTTTTGATGCATCAAGCCATTGATCCTTTGAAATCCAACGTTTTGCAATTAATTGTAGGCTGAATCGAGCCTTATCAGTTACATTTAATAGATTAAAAAAATGACGACAAACAAGTCACCGATTTTGTTGCATAAGACAAGTGCAACTATATGAACCATCTACTAAAAGAAATATAACATGGTTGATCCTTTGACTTGTAACATGTGATATATTTCAAACTTCTTCAATTGCATTGCTTTCTAAATGTTCTAAGAGATATTTTGCACATATAACTGCTGAATCGTATTCATCATTAAAATCGGCACTTGCTGAAGGCTTCTAAACTTTAAGTGATTCAGCTTCAATAGTAGTACGACTGGTGACATAATAAACACTTTCCTTCATTTGTTCAATTAAGAATCAAGAAACATTCGGTCTTAAGTATTTTTTAATCAATGATTCTATAGTTGGAAAACAGTAGAAACACATGTTATATTAGGAATATTGCTTTTTCATTCTTCAATAAGCTTATGCTTTCATCCTTCTTCACTACGTTCTATTAATATCTTGCCAATATCACAAAGTGATATATTACTATTACTTATAACATGCTTAATGCATGAATTTTAACTTTCAACGAAGGACGTTGACCGAATACCGAGTGTAAATGCTAAAGTGCTAAAAGCACATGCCTATGAAAATCGCTTTTTATATAACCGATGTTCCAGATAATGCTTTGCTTTAGGGTATTTTATTATGAGTTCATTCCAGTAGTGTTCAAAAATATCTGGTACATCAGCATTACGGCACCGCCAAAATGCCAAATAAAATTCATTGAATTGGTCATCTAATTTGCCGCGAAGCATTTTTTTAATGTTTTCCTTAATGTGCCAAATACATATAAGGTGCTGTGTTTCTGGGTACTCTGTAATTATTGCTCTTTCCATAGCAGGATCACTGTCTGTTATAATTATATTTAGCATTCTATTATGTGTTGCTTTTTTTGTCATATGGAGAATCCATTCATATGTTTCAGTTGTCTCATCACTTAAAAAAACTTTGAGCAACAATATGCGATTGCATATTGTTGTCTTGGGCTACAAATAGAGAAAGAGGCATGCGATACCTATTTGTCCCGGCAGTGTTATCATGCTCAATTACTTCACAAAAATTACACCACAGTAAAACTTGTTCTGGACTCATCCAGAATAAACCAGTTAATAAATTTGTTTCTTTTTCCCATGTGGTCTCAACAAACCAACGTGGGTCCTCATGTTTTCTCGAAATTAGTTGTTCATAGAATTGTGCAGCGTCTTCTTTTATTGTATCAGCAGTCGGTCGGTATTTTTGAACTTCTGTATAAAGGTCTTCAGAAAACAGAGGGTGCAGTAGGAATTTCTCCTTCAAAATGCATCACACTATAGTTACACCAAAACGACATTTAGTTATGAGAAATTCAATTTCCTGACACATTTCTGCTGTGAATTGCTTATTTTTTCTAAACTGCATAGCTTTAGGTGACAATGTATAATTATGTTTGTGGTTAAGTGTTGTTACAACAACATCAAGTTGATTTTTTGGGCGAGAAAGGTTCACATGCCATTCGCACTTTTGTTGAACTGAAGTGCCGGGATTTTCTGTATTTTTTGGTTTATACACTCCCAAATATTTACAATTGATTGTTCGTTTGTGAATAATTCTTTCATTTTTAGCTCCACTAAAAGTCGTTATACGTCCAAGGCATACTTCAAACCCTTATATTCAGCATATTGGCGCACATGTCTCTCAGCTTCATGAAATCAGCAAACGAATCACCTTTTTTTAGTAACACTAGTTCAAAAACATCTGATGTTTCCTCAATTTCTATGCTTTGATCTTTCTAATAAAACAAAACTTCCCAAGGTTAAATAAAAGTCAACGAAACAAACTAAACAATTACTGTAGCCGATTAAAATAAAATCAGATTAAAATGAAATTTTGTATAATACAAAATAGACAAGCCACTGAAAAATACAAAATTTTGGGATGCATTTTTAACAGAACCTCAAATTTCATTTTAATCCGATTTTATTATGATCTGCGGCAATTATTTTGCATACATTATGCTCCAACTCATTAAAATCAATAGACAAATTTTCTCCTTCTTCTCATTGTAACAAAATTGGTTCTAATTCATCAGAGGTCTTCTTAAATTCCACCATTATATCTTGATTGGGAATGTGTTGCTTGAAAAAAGTAAGTTCAAAATCACATGATTATTTAAAATCTCAAAACTATACATAAAATTTTCAAAACCACATAAAATTTTCAAAACTACATACAGATAACTCATTAATGTCAATACTCTGATCTTTCCTTTGTAACGATGTTTGTTCAAAAGAATTAGCCGCCACCTCAAATTCTATCATTATATGTTGATTAGAAACAAATTGCTTGGAAAAAGTAAGTGCAAAATCATGTGATTACTTAAAATCTCAAAGCTATACGCGATAAACCATAAATTTCCAAAACCACATACAGATAACTCATCAGGGTCAAGATTCCTATCTTGTAACAACGTTTGTTCAAAATAATCAATTGCATTCTCAAATCCCATCATTATATATTGATTAGAAACTATCTGCTTGAAAAAAGTAAGTGCGAAATCACGTGTTATTTAAACACCCAAAACTATATGCGATAAAACATAAATTTCTCAAACCACATACTGGTAATATATCAAAGCCAAGATTCTGATCTCTTTGTAATGATGTTGGTTCCAAATAATTAGCCATCTCCTCAACTTCCATCATTATGTGTTAGTTAGAAATATGTTGCTTATAAAAAGTCAAAGTCATGTGATTATTTAAAATTCCAAATTATGCTCAATAAACATAATATTCTAAAGCCGCATACTGTTTGATAAGAATCCACATCCATTATATTCATTTATTGATCCTTAATTCGATTTATTTTTCTTTGGCTTTCGTTTGCTAACCAGCGGGTAAGAGAATTATTTTGTTATTTTTTTCTATTTATATGAATTTCAATTACGTCAACATCGTCACTTATTTATTACTCTGACGCACATGATCGATCGTATATAGTATGATAATATATATTGTGCTATATGACACAAGACGGATGCGCATCTGCGCATGGTGCGCAGCTGCACATAGTGCGCAAATATAATAATCCCTATAAATTAAACTAATAAAATAAATACTAACAAAATTTGGTTATATTATATCAAAACAGCTTCATTTTATTTTTAATAAAGTTTTTATAGCATCAAACTAAGTATTTTTCTTTTTCTTTACTTTCTTCTTTTTATTTTAATCATTTTCTTTCTTTCTCACTTTCTCTTTGACTATTTTCTTCTATTGAAATCAATTCTTTCTTTTTATTACTGAAATTTAGCTTCTCTGTATTGAAGTTTTTTTCTTTCTTTTTCTTCAGACTTATTCTTCTTTTCTTTTTCTAATCATTTATATATATACATTTTGGTTTTCAAATATTTTTATAAAAATAGTTCCAAGTTGAGTTTATTGCTGTATTTAAATAGCTTTTAAGTTCTTTCAAACTTCTTATCACTTTGAAGATTCTTTTTATAACCTTTCCTTTAATCAATCCTTTAAGTATACTGATTCTAGTTTCATATTTTTTTCTTCTGATGAACCTCACAAAGTTCTTTTAAATTGTGATTTATCAAGATAGCTACAAGTTTCTTTTGATAAAGCTGTCCAAGTCAAGTTCAAGGCTAGTTGTTCTGTTTTTTTCTATTTTATTTTATACTTCTCATATGTAATCAAATATTCTTAATTCTCTTCTTCACTCTTTTTACATATTACATATGTTGGGCTATCATACAATTCTAGTTTTTGGCTGATAATATTTTTAGTATTAGCAGTTTTTTATACAAGCACTTGATTAGAACATCTAAATGCTTGTTTTCCTTAAGCTTGTATATTATATACCACTTTGATTTCTGATCATTTTTATAAAATGTGTCAATATTGGGTTTGTATATCATCTTTGAGTTCTATTTTTCTTACTGCTAAAAAAAACTTTTATTTTATTTCTGTTTTGAAGTTAAGGATTGTTTGCAGAAACTTTCTTATGAGATCTTTTACTACTGTCTTTTCTCAATATAAAGTAATATTTAACTTTTGAGAAGGTTTTTTTATAATTTTATCTTTGTCCTCTATTCTAGATTTTAATTTTGCTAATTTGTCTACTCTGTTATTTCATCTATTTTACTAAACCTTTACTTTTTCTAATTTTAGCTATATCTCTTTCAGTTCTATTATCCCTAAAATATATTTTACCAAATTGTAATTCTCTTCCTTAATCTATTGGGATTATATATAGTATAGATAGTCATATAATATAGGTGATAACTATAGATGTGATAAATAGATATGTTATATAATAAATCTATGAAATTTTTAGAAGACTATATAGTTAACATTTATATTCTTATATAATACCCTCTGTTATATATAAAAAACTGATCCAAACCTACCAGTTTATGTTTGTTGCCCATCTATACTATAGATCAACCATCTATTGTCTTGCCTGTCTATTTTGTGCTATTTGTATAAATATTAACCTTCTTTTTGTCAGATGTGATGAGAAATATGTACTAGATTTTAAGCAGTTTTGCTTTTGTTAAAGACAGCAAATTTCTTGCTTTAAAATATTTTTTGTCAATTATTTTCTTCTCTTTCTTATTTATTAATACTTAGCTTGCTTCTATTTTGTCTGATTATAACTAAGATTGTTTTTCACTATTTCTTAAAATTTCATCAATATAAAAGTTAAACTGTATTAGAGAGCATTTTTGTAAATTTCTGTTCTTCTCTATTAGGAAGTTTCGCATTTTTAAACTAATCTGCTGTTTTGTAATAATTTTTGCATCCAAGTCATAGATTTTAATTTTTTAAACCACCTTCTTACCTTCTGATATCTTAAATTTGGAGAAAATCTATATTAATTATATTATTTCTTAATTAATCTTTAGAACTTTCTCTTTTTGTTTTAGAGCCTTAAATTCTTTTTCTACTTATATGACTTTTATAAAAGTTTCTTCTTCTCTTTCTTGGTTAATTTCACAGCCTTTACATCTTTTTATTATTGTGCTTCTTTTATTTGGTTTTATGTTTGATTTCCAATACTCTGTAAGAAATCTTATCTTTAATTTACTTATGATTCTTCTAATCAATATGGCTTCATTTCTTGCTATTTCTGATGCACTCATCAAAACCTATTCTTTCTTTTTTTCATCTGCTTTTAATAGGTTTGAGTGAATTTGAAGTGGCTAAGAACTGAGGCTTTCTACTCTATATTCTGACTTTATAGTCCTGTTTTCTTTATTTTTGATTACTGTTTCCTCTATTATACAAACTATTTTTGCACTTTTAATTCTACATAAAAGATATCTAAGTGTTTTGAATTGCTGCCAGGTTATTATTTGATTTTCTGACTGTGTTAAAAGTTGGTTAAGAGAAATAATATTAAGTTTTTTAAGCATTACTGCTACTGGTGATATAAACTTCTTTCCAAGAATATTTACTATTTTGAATTTATTGCTTTCATCTGAAAGCTTTGTGTTTTGAATTTAAAGATAATATTTAATTCTTTAGCCTTTAATATTGTTAGATAAGCTAAATTATTTTTCTAAAGATAAATACAAGTGTTTGGCAGTCCTTCAAATTGTGTATTTTTTTTAGCAGTTTCTAATACTTGTATTCCTTGACTTATTCTTAACAATGTTAACATTTCTTCAGGTCCTATTAAGTTCAGTCACAAGTGTTAACCAAAGATTTGCTTAGCTAGCAGCTAATTCATAATGCATTGCAGCTTCTGATACTTATATGAAGGATTATACTATTGTTTAGTATTAATTTGGAACTATATATATTATTAATATATGCTGCTTGTGCTATTGTAAGTTTCTTCAAGTTTAATATTTAAGTTATTGAGTATACAATTTCCTTTAATCTTGCCTTGATAAGAGCTTTATCTAAATTGCTATTAAGCTATATTTTTAGGAATTTTGTAATTTTATTCTTTCCTTTTTTTACTAACTATTTGTTGTCAAAGTAAATCTTTTTGTTTTCCTTCTTCTCTCTTGAATTAACTACAATTAATTTAAACTTTTTTTATTTATATAAATATTATTTAGTTTAAAGAACTCTTCAGCAATTTGAATTATTTTTTCTATTTGTTTTTTGTTTTCTGCGATCCAAATTGTATTATCAGTATAAGCAACTACTATCTGCTTTTATTTTCTTTTTGTCACTTGGTTTAAGCTATAGTTAAATAGGATTTGCTGAGATACTATATAATCTAAGTTCAGATCATCATTAATTTTTGATAACAAAGAATTGTAAAAGATTCTTTATACAAGTAGTGAAATCACCTTTTCTTGCTCAATGCTATTATTTATTTTAAAACATTGCATTGTATCTAACTTTGTAATAATTTTTAATTGTCTATTTCCAAATAGATTCAGAATAAACCTTGTTGTGATTTGAGGAATTTTGAGTCTTTTCATTGCTAATTCTAATGATTTTAGTAATACCAAGTTGAATGCCTTTTTCATATCTTATAGAACTAGCTACAGTTCTTTTTATTGTTCTTTGCATCTTTTATTATTGCATTTATAATCTACACTAGTTCTTCTATTAAGTTCTTAGACAAACCTGCGAAATTTAGGCTCTTCAAAATATTTCTCTTGTCCAAAACTTGTGCTTACTATTTTAGTAACATATTTTCTAAATGTCTTTAGCAATGCAATTGGTCTGATGTTATTTAAATTATAACACCAGTCTGTATTTTTAGGGATCAGATATATTTGTGAAATTTTTTATTTTAATAGAACTTTGACTAATTGAATATAGCTTTTTATAAAAAAGCAAAAAATCTTTTATATATAAGTACTTGTCACTTTAATTAATATATAGATAATTTCTAAGACTTTTAGAGCAGTATTTTTCTTCAAATCTTTAAGCATATTATACTATTCTTCTTTAAAAATATCCTGATTCAAATTATTATATTACTCTTTTTATATTTTTTCTTTTGGTCTATAAATAACTTTTCAGTTCTTTTTCCAAAGATTTGGTCAAAACAGTAAGGTTTGAACTACTTTTGAAAATATTACGTATTTTGTTTAACACCTCCTTTGGATCTGTAACAAGCTCTCTGTTTTTTTTCTTTTTCAAAAGTCTGTTAATTTAGATTTTTTTAAATAGTTTCTTTAATAGACTCACAAGTAGAGATGTTATATGGTCTGGTCTAAACTAAAAAACCATAGTCAGTCTAAGACTAGTTTGAATCTAAAAACTTTGGGTTTGCTTTTAGTATTAAGATCAGACCAGTCTAAACCAGACTAGACCAGTTAAGTCTTAAGACTATAGACTATTAAAAACTGGACCAAACTGAACAAAAAGAAGACTAGACTAAACCAGACTGGACTGTTAACATCCCTACTTACAAGTATTTAGTCTTGCTTTCTGTCTATTATTTGGTGTCTTCTTTTAATATTTTTTTATATTTTCTTTCTCTGTTGCTATTCAATTTTCTCTACTTTTCTTGCATATAAAATTTTTTATCAGTTTTCAAATTATCAACTAATTTATATAACCAACAGATAAAGCCTGTATTAATGCTTGTCTTGTATTGCTGGTTTGTGTACTTTAACTCTGCAATTAAGTTATTTATATAGTTATATATGAGACCTAATTTGACACTTTTTTTTCTATACTTATTCATCTTCCTAGTTGTATTATAGTATATGAAAATC